ACAGCATGGCTGCTGACGAGTAGTGTAGGTCTGTGCCTAGGAACCAAACCCAGGCTGCCGAAACAGAGTGTGCCAAACTTAACCACTATGCCACGGGGCCGACCCCACTTCTTTCTATTTCTACAAGAAGGCCCAGGGTGCATGGCGTTCTGGAATTACTGGAGGCCTGAAAATAGGCTCCTTTTCCCATTATTAAAGAGCAGGATGCCCTTTCTTAAAACTTACCCAGTAACTACTCACTGAACATTTTCTATAGTAGGTAACACTGCTCTCAAAAGTAGGAATATCATTCAGAGAAAATCAGACTTAATGAGATGATTCAAAGTTTTATTGAATATGCTTTATAAATGGACATTTTGATTGACATATCCAGGTACTCACTACAAATCATAAAACCAAAGCTTAACTTTAAAACCTAAAGCAATCTTGCTGCTCCTAAAACCTTAAAGAAAATCCTTAAGTTTGTCCCTTCCAGCTCTTCTTAACTTCATTCAGTGATACCCATTTTACACCACCTCTTCTTCAGGAATACCTAAGATACCGTTTTTCCCAGCTCCTCCCACTACAAAGCTCCATCTTCACCACCACAGTGAGGATAATGGAAAGAACATCAGACTTAATGCCAGACTATCTGTTCGGATCCAGACAATGACACCTCCTAGCCATGTATTAGAGTCAATCAGCATGTCTCTAACCTTAGTTTCCTCATCTGCAAAATAAGGATTACAACATTTACCTTACGGGATTGTTTTGAAAACTAAAAGAGATAAAATATGCAGGTGTAATTTAGAAGTTATAAATTATCATAAAAATGTAAGGTAGCATTATTACTCCTCTATGAATATGGTTCATTCATTATTCAATGAATATATATTGTACATTACTGTGGGGAAGACACTTTGCTAGGCAGTAATGACACAAATCAAAAAAATATATTTCATTGGCCCTAAAGAGCTTAGATTCCAGTGGGGAAGAAGCACGCTCAAGGTGGAGAAAAGCATGCTCTGATGTGGCTACGGTGCTAGGGAGCCAGGAAGAGGACTCACACTGGGGTGTAGAAACTGAGGGTGGTCAGAGGACTTCCTGAGGAGGTGACACTGGAACTGTCTCACTACAGATCCAAAAGCAAGGAAACAAATCCAAGTCACTCCTTGTGAGGTGGTCTGCACACTCCATGGTCCTGGGCCGCAAGCCAGTTCAAAAGTGTCCCAGCCTCTCAAGGCAGAGTTTCTCAACCTCAGTACCACTGATATTTCAGGCTGGATAATTCTGTGTTGCAGGGGGCTATCCTGTGATCGCAGAATGTGTGGCAGCATCCCTGACCTCAATCTACTAGATGCCAGTAACACCACCTACCTCCCAGCTTTGACAACCAGAAACATCTCCTGACACTACCAAATGGCCCCTGAGGGGCAAAATTGCCCACAGTTGAGAACTACTGCCTTAAGGTCATGGAAAACCAGTGCAGGTGGTTCTAGAAGGAATGGAATTCATACAACTATTACCTAGACTTATACTAGTGCTCAACAAATATTGAATGAATAAATGAATGAGCCTCCCGTAAGGTAAATGTTGTAATCCTTATTTTGCATTTGACGGAGCCCATTTGACGTTCTTTTTGGGTCTCATGCAGAAGAGCCCTGGGCTAGTAATTAAGTTCTAAGGTGCCCAAGTGAGAGGTAACAACACCACCACATGCATTTATACAGTGCTCTGTACAGGTTGTATGATCTTGGGTAAGTAGCTCAAACTCTGAGTTTCAGGTTCTTCAGTTCTTCTCTGGGGATATTAACCCTATCTTGCAAGGTCACTGGGAGAATTACATGAGATAATTGATGTAAAACATACAGCATTAGAGGTCTAGGCATTCACTCCTTTCGTGCAATTGACAAGAGGAATCTCAGCAGGATGCCCTCCTAGCTCCTGCCCCTAAACTCTACCCTTAAAAAGACCTAGAGTAATTGGAGCATATACCTTTTTTGTTATAAACATGTGGGAAATGCCGAGCATTGGACCAGGAACTGCCGCATCAGCCATCCAACTCATCCCTTCCAGGCAACCAGGTTAGTTAAGAGGTCCAGAGAGTAGTGACTTGCCCAGGATTACACAAGGCTCTGTCAGCACTCAGGGCTCAGCAACACTCAAGTGCTGACCACCACTGCCTCCCTCACACCAAGGCTTGTTTGAACTGTGTTTTTGGAAAATGCTTTCTGTATTCTGTGTTCTGTAGTTTCGTATAGACGTAGATGATCAGATCAGGAAATTTCTTCTGAAAATAGTGGGAAGGTATTCCAATTCTCGACTTCATCCTGAAATGAAACATAAATGCTTTGGCATGCTTGCCTCAAATTCTTCTTCCCCTCCTTACAACACATGGCTCCAGAGATCTCTTTGCTCCCTTGGTTTCTATGGCAAAATGAATGAGGACTTGAGAGCCTGACAGAGCGTGATTCATCTCCTGACTCTACAACTAATCCTGTGCACTTTGGTAGCTTATTTCTTGTGAACCTCGGTTTTATCATCCATAAAAGGCAGATAATACAACTCCACAATCACTTATCTACAATTCTAAAATCTAAAAGAGCCCTGAAAACTGCAAGTTTTTTGTGAGTTTGCAGCTAATATTCTTGGCAACAAAAGCTGATTTGACTAATGTGGGGCTACTTTCTAGGCTTTCATAATGCTACATTCATTGCACCCAGCTGCCCAGTCCCCTGTGTTTCTTCACACAAGGGAGTCACTAGCCTTCTGTTCATGAGGGCTCAGCAAAAGCTAAAAAGGAAGATGAGAGCCTACTGGGCATGTCCATGAGTTCACTGTAAGACCCTCGTGGAGTCCCTTTTCTGAACAACGGGGAGGAAATACTTTTCTTTCATCAAAATAAATGTTGTTCTTTCCATCAAGTAGCAGATATAAATTTAGAATTGGATTTTTTTAAATCATTCTCATCTCATATATGACTTACGGGAATGAAAACAATACTTACTCTTCATTCCTTTTCTCATCAATGTGTTCTCCAACGTTCCGGATGAACTTTAGCAGATCACCCACAGTGTCCTGATAGACATTGCGTCTTTCTTTATAAAACTTATTCATCTTTTTCATGACACAGCTGTCAATCTAAAAAGCAAAACATTATACAAAATGTAGGAGCAATACAAAATAAATCCTGATGGAATGTTACTGCAAAAAGGCAAAATACAAATTTTAATATATGCCAAAATTACCACTAATTAATAAAATAAATTAACAGAAAGAAAAGAATGGAAGTGAACACTCTACACCAAAATGCTAACTGTAGTTGTGTGTAGATGTGGGATTATAAATAACTTTAAATTCATGTATCTATTTCCCACGTAAATTGTTTTCATAAGAAGTTAAATATATTAACACATGGTTTAGAAAATCTTTGGCTGCTATACCAGGAAATTTGCTCATCATAATACACGTATTTTTATGCTTGTGGCCACCCTTGCAAATTCATACTTTATTACATTTCCTCTTTAAAGAAGGTTGTCTGTACTGAAACCAGGCCTGGCAGCCACCGCCAAAGTGAGTGGGGTTGTTTTTTGTTTTATTTTCTTTTGAATTGTGTCTCCAAAGGTTACATGTTTCTTGTTGCCTCTAGGCGCCCCAGGGTAACTTCTTTCATATGAATGCCTTCCTCTGTATGCTTGCACCCTTGTAGATGGCTCTTGTATTTAGAAAGAGTTTGGAGTAAGAGAACAAGATGCAACAACCAGGAAGCCAGAGGGTCCCTTAGGAAGAGTAACTAGTGACTAGACCAACCCTAGTGAAGACCTGCTGAGCCCGCCTTGGTGTACGACATGCAGAGCACGTCTGAGAAATGCTGAGCGATGTAGTGGGGCAGGATGGGGCAGCTTGTGGAGGAAGGCAGAAGTACACACTAGAAAACTTGGGCTGTAGACCTGTGCTGCCAAAAACTGATTGTACGACCAGGAAAATGGGCAAGTCACTAAAATCAAAAGAAAAACAAGCCTAAAATGGAAATTAAAAAATAAGAATTGAGTGACGTCAGCAACATGGTTGAGTGAGTTGTTCCCTGTGTCTCTCTCCCTTCAAACTACAACTAAAAGGATGTTCACGGATCAGCGGAGGATACCCGCACAGCACACCAGGACGCCTGAGAGACCCAAGCAGCTGTATATCTGAACTATATATGGACTACCCCCCGCCCCAAGAAAGTGGTGGAGATAGGTGAGGACCCTCTGGACCCCAGGCAGCCCAGCACACATGTGCCACTACTTTCCCAGCTGGAGCGATCATAGCATCGCTGGGGCCCGGAGGATGGGAGCGTGCCTCAGCATGACTGTGGAAACAGGTGATGGCAGCCCTGAACCCCCTGTGTGATCACTTCCCTGTCTAGTGGGGGAGCCTTCAGGGCCATGCAGCCCACAGAGAGCAGCATAGGCTTGGACCCAGTGGGGAAGCCTTACCCACCAAGCACAAAGGACAATGCTACCTGGGAGCAGAGGGGGGCTGAGCTCCCAGTCTGTGTGAACAAGCTCCCAGCTGCTGTGAACACCCACAGTACTGCTGCAGCCCCAAAGAGGGGAAGCATGTCTCAGCGAGACTGTGAGAACCTGAGGCAGTAGCCCTGAGCCCGCAGGTGATCACTCTCTCGTCTGGTGGGAGAATCCACAATCCTACCCAGTTCCAGGGAGAGGCTTTGGCTCAGTCCCAGAGGGGAGCTCCTGCCCACCAAGCACAACAGCTGGTGTGACCTAGGAGCAGAGGGCGGCTGAGATCCCAGTGTGGGTGAACAAGCTCCCAGCTTCCTGAACACCCATAGTACCACTGTGGCCCAGCAGTAGGGAGCACAACCCCCGGGGTCTGTGGGAGTAGGCAGCAGTGGCCCTGAGACCCCCACGTGATTATTTTCCCACTCGGTGGGAGACCCCACAGGGCCACTGCGATCCCAAGGAGTGACCCAGGCTTGGACAGGCACAACTGACAGGGATCGCAGCAGTGGGCTCAGATTACACAGCTCCTGCCCACTCCCCAAGTGGCAGCAGGCGGAACCTGCATCCAGAAACTATCACTATGTGCCGGCACAAATCCACCCCATCAAATGGTATAAAGAAATTTATTAATATTCCAGATCAGAAGGAAAAAGAAAAACACCCAGAAACCAATCCTGAAGGCATGGAAATCTATGATCTTAATGACAAAGAATTCAAGACAGCCATCATAAGAAAACTCAATGAGCTACAAGAGAATTCTGAAAGACAGTTCAATGAAATCGGGAACCAAATTACCGAACTGAGAGAATTCTTCACAAAAGAGATTGAAACTATAAAGAAAAACCAAACAGAATTGTTAGAGATGAAAAAAACAAAGGATGAGATAAAGAAAAATCTAGAGTCCTTAAACAACAGGGCTGATAATATGGAGGATAGAATTAGCAATCTGGAGGACAGGAACACAGAAATGCTTCAGATGGAGGAAGAGAGAGAACTTAGACTAAAAAAAAATGAAGAAATTCTCTGAGAAATATCTGACACAATTAGGAAATGCAACATAAGGATTATAGGTATTCTAGAGGGAGAAGAGAGGGAAGAAGGAGCAGAGAGCTTGTTCAAAGAAATAATAACTGAGAACTTCCCAAACCTGGAGATGGAGCTGGAATTACATGTAAAAGAAGTCAACAGGACTCTTAATTACATGAATGTAAAAAGACCTTCTCCAAGGCATATATTAGTAAAGCTGGCAAAAGTCAAAAATAAAGAAAAAATATTAAGGGCAGCAAGGCAGAAGAGAATACCTTATAAAGGAAACTCTATCAGGCTTTCAGTGGATTTTTCAGCAGAAACCTTACAGGCTAGGAGAGAGTGGAATGATATATTCACAATTCTGAAAGACAAAAACTTTCAGCCAAGAATACTATATCCAGTGAAAATATCCTTCAGAGATGATGGAGAAATAACAACTTTCCCAGATAAACAAAAGCTAAGGGATTTCATTGTCCCAAGACCCCCCCACCAGATTTGATCAAGAAAGCCCTCATACCTGAAAAAGAAAGAAAGAAAGAAAGGGTTTACAAAGCCTTGAGCATGCAGATAAATAGGCAAACAAAATCAGAAATTGCAACTCTCTATCAGAACAGATTAGCAAACACTTCATTATAACTCTAAAGATAAAGGAAAAGAAAACATCAAAAATAAATATTATCACTTCATTTTAACCACAAATTTACAACACTTAATGGAATAAGTTGTGACAACAACAACAACTTAGAAGGGGAAGAGGAGAGGGATGAAACCTGCTTAGACTAAGGGAACAAGACGCTATCAGGGAATGGACTATCTCATCTACGAGATCTTTTACACAAACTGTATGGTAACCACTAAACAAAAAATCAGAACAAAGACACAAATGATAAATAAAGAGAAAACTGAGAAAACCATCATAGAGAGCCACCAAACTGAATTAGCAGTCCAAAATTCATGGGATGAGAAACAAGGAAAATACATAACAACCGAAAAACAAGAGATAAAATGGCAGCATTAAGCCCTCATATATCAATAATCACTCTAAATGTAAATGGATTGAATTCCCCAATCAAAAGACACAGAGTGGCTGGATGGATTGAAAAACCAGACCCAACAATTTGCTGCCTCCAGGAAACACATCTCAGCTCTAAAGACAAATACAGGCTCAGAGTAAAGGAATGGAAGATGATACTCCAAGCTAATGGAAAACTAAAGAAAGCAGGTGCTGCCATACTTATATCAGACAAAGTAGACTTCAAGATAAAAAAGGTAATGAGAGACAAAGAGGGACAATGTATAATGATAACAGGGAAACTCCATCAAGAAGACATAATACTTATAAATATATATGCACCCAACACAGGAGCACCAAAGTACACAAAGAAACTACTAACAAACCTAAAAGGAAATATCAACAACACAATAATAGTAGGGGACCTTAACACCCCACTTACATCAATGGATAGATCATCCAGACAGAAAGTCAATAAGGAAATAGTGGACTTAAATGAAAAACTAGACCAAATGGACTTAACAGATATATATAGAGCACTCTATCCAAAAAGAACAGATTACATGTTCTTCTCAAACACGCATGGAACAGTCTCAAGAATAGACCATATGTTGGGAAACAAGGCAAACCTCTATAAATTTAAAAAGATTGAAATCATAACAAGCATCTTTTCTGACCATAATGCTATGAAACTAGAAATCAACTACAAGAAAAAAGCTGGGAAATTGACAAAGATGTGGAGACTAAACAACATGCTACTGAACAACCAATGGATCATTGAAGAAATTAAAGGAGAAATCAAAGAATATCTGGCGACAAATGAAAATGAAAATACACCATATCAACTCATATGGGATGCAGCAAAAGCAGTCCTGAGAGGGCAATTCATAGCAATGCAGGCTCACCTTACCAAACAAGAAAAATCCCAAATAAGCAATCTTAAACTACACCTAACAGAATTAGAAAAAGAAGAACAAACAAAGCCCAAAGTCAGCAGAAGGAGGGAAATAATAAAAATTAGAGCAGAAATAAATGAAAATGAAACCAAAAAAACAGTACAAAGGATCAATGAAACAAAAAGCTGGTTCTT